ATCCACAGCTGGTCTCAGGAGCACTGATAGATGTGGCCAAACACCTGGGCAACCTGTCCTTCAGAGTGTGGGAGAAGATGAAGGAGAAGGTCCACTTCAGTCCTGTCATTCTGGACCCAAACACTGCAAGCCCCTATCTCTATCTGTCTGATGATCTGACCAGTGTGAGGAATGGAGACACAAAGCAGCAGCTTCCTGATAATACAGAGAGAAACACTAAGTATCCTGATGTTTTTGGCTCTGAGGGCTTCAGCTCAGGGAAACACAGCTGGGAGGTGGAGGTGGGAGACCATCCTGGCTGGATTGTGGGTTTAGCTAAAGAGTCAGTTGAGAGGAAGGGAGAGTGTTTTGCTTCACCAAAATATGGAAACTGGTGTTTACTGCACTGCAGTGGAGAATACACTAATGGTGATGGTCAGACTGTGACAGTGAAGAAGAGTCTCCAGAGGATCAGAGTCCAGCTGGACTATGACAGGGGGGAGGTGTCCTTCTATGACCCTGAAGACATGACTCACATCTGCACTCACAGAGACACTTTCACTGAGAAACTCTTCCCATATTTCAGTGTTGGAGAGGCAGGAGACGCCAAAACCTCTGATATCAAAATTTGTCAGACTGAAATTTTCTGAAAACTGCAACGAGGTCTCTGTGAACTTTTTGTTTTGTTTTGACTTCTTGGTTGTTTGTTTTTCTTTGTTTGTTTTTTCAATTTAGGCAACTCCTGTTGTAATTTTTATGCAATAAATTTGCAGAGAGAAAATGTAGCACCCGAAGCAATTTTCAAAACACAATGAGCAAAACTGAATAATAAATGTCATTTTTGTGTTGTCTTGTTGCAAATTCAGGTTGAAGGTGTTTAAAACTTTTTATTTACTTGTTCATTTTTTGTTGATTTTCTTTTTTCTAAATATACAGCGATTTTTAAGTCATTGGGTGTTCATGAAACTGGTTTGATACATTTAAACAGTGCAAAATTGATGTGACACTGATGAACAAGAACTGATAAATGTCACTTTCCTTTCCTTCATCAGTTATTTAGATCCATCTCAGCTAATAACAGCATTGTGACAATTTGTTTTTTAATGATTTCAAAATGATAAATAGACTTGACTCATAAATAACCCTAATGTCGTCTTTTGATACTTAACAACCATTAATGAATTTAAGTGATTTGTTTCATTTAAATGTGTGGCATGTTCTCTATTGTGTACATTGGTGTAATAATCCAGCCATGTTTTTCTTTAAAATGTGTCATTGCAGAATAATGTTGACCATCTGACATTTATTCAGTTGTATTCATACAAACTAAAGTTCATTCTTTCTTTTTAGATTGTTCCTAAGTTCTGTGTAAATTGCTTTGTCAGATACAGACACTGTTTTCTTTGCTACTGACTGACCCAAAGCATTTATTTCATAATTGTTGAACATTTGTACAGTTGGAGCTGCTGTTTGTTCCAGTGTGTTTCTGTGAACTCTCACTTCATATTCCAGATCACATCAGCACATTCAGGATTTCGTCTTGTTAACTGTGGATTTCCTGTTTTTCACCTGCAGAGCAAATATGATGAAAATGTTGGAAACACGAGTTCACTGATTTCCTGGATTATTTTCCGTCAATAAATATATCGAAGCCTGGCTGCTGTCTGATGTGTCTGTAAACACAGAAAGACGCTGAACTTTCTATTTAAACTGTCATTTTATTGATAACACCTTAACACATTTTCTTGAAGTTAGTGAAACACGTGTAGCATATAAGAGAATAAAGCATCTAATCTGAGGAAACAGAACTAGAGGATTAATAGTGTTATACAGAAGAAATCCAAAAGTGTCAATAAGAGATAAAAGGAAAGTAAGAGGAGGAAACTTCATGTAGTTTATGTGCAGGGCTGCACAAACAGTCTCTGTTCAATTTCTGATGAACTGCGGATGTCTCTGACTGGACTTTCTGTTCGATTATGTTTGTTCCTTTATTTGTTTTTACTTTGACTACAAGTGGCAGATGGCTGCCCACTCCCTGAACTTGGTTCTGCTGGAGGCTTCTTCCTGCTAAAGGGGAGTTTTTCCTTCCCACTGTTGCCAAAGCCCAAAATCATAGAGAGTCATACGACTGTTGGGATTTTCTCTGTTTTCTCGGTATTATTGTAGGATCTTTCCCTTACAGTATAAAACTTCTTAAGGCGAATGTTGTTCTGATTTAGCATCATATAAATAAAAGTTAATAGAATTACAGGCTTAGTTAACAGGAAGGAAGAATATCCTGCTTTACCAAAGTTAGACATTTGGTGTTTCTAGTATAACAATAGACAACATACAGATGTTGTTGGTCAGACTGTGACCCTGAAGACATGACTCACATCTACACTCACAGAGACACTTTCACTGAGACACGTTTAATATTTGAAAAGCAGGAGATACCAAAACAGTTTAAGGGAGTTTTCATCATAGTTCAGTGAGATCTCAGTAATTTTCCGTTTTTTGGTTTTTATTTTTGGTTTATTTTTAATTTTTGTGTAAATGGGTATCATATTCTATCAACGTGTCCTTCAGAGTGTGGGAGAAGATGAAGGAGAAGGTCCACTTCAGTCCTGTCATTCTGGACCCAAACACTGCAAACCCCCGTCTCTATCTGTCTGATGATCTGATCAGTGTGAGACTTAGATTTAAAAAACAGCAGATTTCTGACAATCCACAGAAAAACATTAAGTATCCCGACGTTTTTGGCTCTGAGGGCTTCAGCTCAGGGAAACACAGCTGGGAGGTGGAGGTGGGAGACCATCCTGAGTGGAGTGTGGGTTTAATAAAAGTGTCAGCTGACAAGAATGAATCATTCATTTCACCAGAAACTGGAACCTGGTGTTTAAATTATGAGAGTGGAAAATACACTGATGTCGTTTATCAGACTCTGAGAGTGACGAAGAGTCTCCAGAGGATCAATGACCGTCACCAAGAGAAGCATTTATTAATGACAGCTCAGTGCAGCCTAAGTTCAAACCAGAATTTAAAAAGCGACGCATATTAATGTTGGTTCAGTCACATTTCTCTCTGAAGCATAGAGACTATCGGCGGTAGTCTGGTGGTGTATTCAACATCTATATCACAGACACAGCGCCATCTAGTGAGAATATAATAAAATAGCAAGTCCAATACTATCAGCTCCGCCCCTAACAGAGTAAATGAAACTTAAACTCATTGTCGACCACGCTGGAGACGCCTTCACATTTAACCTGAGCTTTGTACCGAAGAGCACAATTTGGCGGCATTATCAAGCAAAGAGGTCGTATTTCGGTGAGTCATTGAAACCAAACCCTGGAAAATGGCGGAGAAATTCGCACTTTTTGAAAACTATCTGAGCTGCCATGTGTGTTCAGAGACTTTCAGAGATCCTGTGTCTCTGAGCTGCAGCCACAGCTTCTGTTCAAGCTGCCTGCAGAAATTCTGGGAACAAACTAAAAACAAAAACTGTCCCATTTGTAAAAGAAAATCTTCAAAGGATGAAGCATCTATAAACGTTTCTCTCAAAGAACTTGCTGACTCCTTTGCTAAGAGGCAGAGTGAGAGCTCACCTGAGACAGAAAACGAGAAGGAGGAAGAGAAGGAGGAGGTGGTGTGTGATAAACATCCAGACGTCCCTTACTGGTACTGTGAGAATGAAGACAGAGCTGTGTGTCCTGTGTGTGAGTTTTCTCTTCACCAGAGTCATAAAGTGGTTCCTGTAGAAGAAGCAGTCAGTGACCTGAAGGAGCAGCTGAAATCTGACTTAAAGTCTCTGCAGGACAAGAGGAACAAATACAAACAAGTGGAGGAAACATACAATGAAATGAGGGAACACATGAAGAAGCAGCTGTTGTCCACAGAGAGGCAGATCAGAGCAGAGTTCAA